CCTTCCCGTTTTTTCACTGCTGCAAGTTCCATCGCCTCATCTCCGACGTCCACTATAGCCTTGTTTTCGCAAAACGGGAGTAACACAACTGTTGCTTTGATGTGGAGCTCTTTCTTCACTGTCTCTAGAACCTCCTGCCAGTCGTTCACCTTTTTCTGAAGGGTGACTACATATCTATAGGCTCAGCTTCCTTTCTCTACCTCCACTGCTAGTTTGGTTGTATTCTGTGAGCTCGTGACTACCAAAGAGACATTTTCTTTTTCGATAGGGTCTGAGTTCCTAGTTTCAACGGTTTGGCCTTGTTCTTCTTCCACAGTTTCCACTTTACCGCCATCCTTGAAACCCTCTTTGATGAGCATCAAATAGTTTTGCAGGGACTCTGTGAACATCTTCCACCCCCTACTATCCTTGCCTTCTGGCAAGCATAACATTTGTTTTCTCCCTCCTTGAAACACTTCTATAATTGTAACGAACCACCCCTTTTGGTTCCATTTGAGGACTGCTTCATATTGCCGGTCCAAGGACGACATCGAACTTCTCCACCCTTGTTTCTTCACTGATAGTGTATCTCCATCAACAAAACCTTGTAGCCATTGCATGGCTTCTCCAACCAAGAAAACCGTAGCCATTCTCTCCTCCCTTATCTGCAGAGACCATTGTCCTTTGATTCTTTGTTCTTCCAAGACGAACTTTTTAGCTTCAATCTTCAACTCTCGTCTCCACTTGGTTGCAGTCACGAATCTTCCCGTCTCTGCTATTGGTTTCAACCTTTCTTCAGAACCCTTCCCCGCACCAGTAATCCTTCCAAAAAAGCAACATATAAAACATTTTCAAGCATGTAAAACCCACAATCTCTTTTTTTTTCCTCAATTGCATTACTTCAAATGGCTAATGTGATGTAAAACATCTTTCATTCTTGATTCAATGAGCCACCTTTGTACCAAGCCCTTTGAGGCAAGCCCAAACAAATCCATGTCAGGGTCTTAAATTCTTATTCTTTATACAAAAATAAATGATTTTATAATGCAATGGTCTTTTAAGAAGATATTTTACTAGGATGAATGAATGAACAACATTAGCAAATAGGAGGTTTCTTGAGGGGCTTGGTCAGGGGTTTGGGGGTGGAGCCCTTGGCCCAGCCATTAGGTTCAAAAAGGAACAAAAGGAGCAAAAAAATTAAAAAAGGTGCACACCTGGGCTGAAGTGCAAGGTGCACCAGGTGGACTAGGTGCACCCCTTTTGAAAGTGTTGCACCTAGGACCTAGGTGAGGTGTGCCTTTTAAATCATTGCCTGGCCCTTTGTTTCAGATATTTGCATTTGGTTTTTCTCTTTGTTTGGTTGTAGGTGGACCCCCCACTGGATGTACAAAGCTTGTGATACGTGTGCTGGGAGAACTCATCCCTAAAAGCTAGTTGTTAGAGGGAGGGAATCCAAGCACATATATACCACAGAACAATATTCCGTACTACCGATGTCGGATATCTCACATTAGCCTCCCATACTACCAATGTGTGACAAATGGATCGTAACATTCCAGCACGCAGGCTGGCTTTGCACTAGTCCACCTAGTCTTGACCGAGCACTGGAATACCGATGTCACCACCTGTGCCACACAATTGCAACTGGGAGGCATGGTGTAGGCTCTGATACCATTTGATATGTGCCTTTGGAGAACTCACCCTTAAAAACTAACTGTTAGAGGGAGGGAACCCAAGCACATAATATACCACACAACAATATCCCACAATACTGATGTGGGATATCTCACATTAGCATCCCATACTACCAACGTGCGACAAATGGATTGTAACAGCTTTTTTGCCTCATCTTTCTTCAAATTGACAAAGAAGAAGGGTAGAACTCTATGGAGGTGTGTTTGGACCTGCTATTTTCTGGACAGTTTGGGAAGAAAGGAACTCAAGAACTTTTTCTAACAAGGAAAGGAGTAAGGAGACCATTACTGAGGCAGTTATTATTAGAGTGGTGCAGTGGGTGTAAATGTGTAATCTCTGGAATTATTTGAAGGTATGCCCACAGATATGATCAAAAGGAATTGGAAGGATGTGGCTGATTCAGCCCCTGCAAAGACCAAAATTACTCCCCTTTGGTCTCCACCAGCCCCTGGGTTCATTAAACTGAACTTTGATGGCAGTAGTGAAGATAACCCAGGGCCTTCTGGTATAGGTGGACTGGTGGAGCCTTTAGAAATGAAGAAGGCAAAGCCATTGCTCTATTTTCTGGTCCTATTGGTGTTTGTGACTCACTTCGGGCTGAGATCTTGGCAGTGATGGAGGCTATGAAGAAGGCTAAGGAGTTGAACTGTCGCAAACTTATTGTTGAAGGGGATTCAAAACTGGTAACTGGCTGGCTGTGAAAAGAAGATAGTGGTCTATGGAAGTATGTTAATGAAAGAAGATTGTTCAATCAGTTAGCACAAGGTTTGGATATCCAGATACAGTGGGTAAAGAGAAGTGCCAACTCCTTTGCAGAAACTCTTGCTAAGCAAGGGGTGGGAAGGGAACAAATGTTTTGGGCTATGTTGTAAATTGTTTGCTATTTTCCCTAGGGGAGGGTTAAAAGGGTTTACCTCTCCCCTTCTTTGTACTCATTTCTCTAATTATTAATGAAACTTTTCTGTTATTCATAAAAAAATCTTCACTATAAAATTTGGAGTAAAACAAACATATTGTAGATTGAAAGTTTTATACTTCCTGTAGTGAGAGAAAATTAAACCAACCAACCATGGAGGGTGAAGACTCATGCAGTGACTGATTATTCATGAGTAACCACAACTTGTTTTTCAACATTGTGCCTGGTGAAGAGTCCTATCAGAGATGTAGGCCTGCTCTCAAGACCTTCAACTGTTACTTCTACATAGACAATTTTCCTTCTCTGATATATGGGAGAATAAACTCCATAAACTTTGGATAGAGGGGATAATAGTCAAAGACTAGGAATCCTTCCAGGCGGATCTGTTTGATGATAAGACAAAACAAATTGTGAAATCCCTCAGGCTTTTCTAGGTTATATTGGGAGATAATCCCACATGCAGCATGTGGCCGTGAAGTCTCATGTTGAGGAGAACTGCATCAAGCATCTTACCTCTTATGTTCTCAAAGTATATGTCAGTGCCTTCAGGAAAATACCTAATCAGACCAAATCTTGTTCTTCAATAAATCAACCTTTTCCTTGGTTCCAGTACTTCCAACCACAAAGAAACCCATTAGCATGGCAAACTATCCAACAAGCTGGCCAACTGCACCTGATGCCGCTGATATGATTACATACTCCTTTCTTAGGAGAGTAAACCTTGTAAAAACCAGTATAAGCAGTCATTCCAGGCATACAAAGAATTCCAGTGCAATAAGAAAAAGGACAGTGTGGTGAATTTTAAACGGAGATTCTGGCATTGTGATGAGGCTGTACTCTTCCCATCCAGTTAATCCCAAACAAAATCACCTTCTTTGAAGGCTGGGTTATCAGAATCCAAAATATTAGACACACCAAGTCCGGTTATAGGCAGACCAGGCTCAAATAAAACAAGTAGCTTGGAGTTTTGTGCCTTGCCATTTGGATTCACATGTAGGGATCATAAGATAAGTAGAGATTATTCACCAAAGCCACCTTGGAAGTTTTGGGCACCTTCAACTGGATACTGATTTGTCAAACAGTAAAGAAAAACAGCCATGTCTGTCTCTTTTGAGAATCCAGCAACGTAGTCTCTTAGTAAAACCTGCTTGTTTTGCACCTCTTCTTTGCATTTTTACTCTGCAAATCACCTTGGTTCTGATGAGCAGGTAGTCCCAGTTAACATCATTTGGTGTAAGAATGTCCCCACATAGGTAGCTTTTTTTTTGTGTGTGTGTGGTCTGCATACTTAAACAGAATACTTAATAATGCCAATTTGGTGAGAAGAGGAGTGGTGTTAGATCCAGTCGACTGTGTACTGTGTGAAAGGCATATGGAATCTGTAGACCATTTATTGCTGCATTGCAAATTCTCTAATGAGATTTGGTCTAAATTTTGGAACCTCTTTGGGGTGAAGGGATGGAGATTGGATTCAGTCCTCACAAAACCGTCCTCACAGCCTTTTCCAGCTGTGCATTGGGAATATCTCCATACTTGTATGTTTTTATTCATGGAGAGATGTTTCCAATACACAGCTGGGAAAGGCAGTGAGGACTGAATCCAAATTTGAAGGGGTGTTGCTTGGGTTCAGTAGAGGAGTTCATGAAGAGTTGGTGGATAGAAGGGCTGTCTAAAAGGGGAAGACTGGCCTGGATTTTGATCCTGGATATGTTTTTTTTTTTTTTTTTTTTTTGTGCTCGTGGCAAGAAAGGAATGCTAGGACAATGTTTTTGTGGCTAGCTATACACAAGTTGTTTAAAACTACAAATTGTGGTTTCTATTTTGTATATCGAAACCATTTTGTAAACCAGGGGTTGGGATCATAGTGCTGCAGGGGTAGCTTTTGTAAGTCCTGGGTACAGCAACTTGTACATGTTTTGTTATCTTTTAATATAATGCCATACTTCTTCTCAAAAAATTATTTACTAACACACTGACCTTACCATTAACTTGACTTTGATCCCCATTTATTTTGCCTAGCATTTATATCAGTCCATGGATTACATGTTTTACCATTTCCTATTTACCAACTAATATTTGTTATATTTTCCTTTTGGTTGGCAATGCCATGATATGCCCATGATGCATACTTTGGAATTTTACTGTTAAAAAATTTCTCTTTCAAATATTTTTTCATCATATCCAAAGGTTGGTCTCTTCATTTATTATTTCCATCCTAATTTCATTAGGTCATAAGAGCCATTTTCCTTATACCTCTATCCACCATTAGGAATTTGAGCCAATTATTATTTTTTAAATCTTTTTTATGGCCTCAAAAGGAATTAATAAGAGCAGGATGTATGTGGTTTGAGAAGTGTTATTTTCTCCTGATTATTTTTTTTCTTTTCTTTCTTCTTTTTTGTTGCCTTAGGGTTGCACATTATGGTGAACTTGCTCCGGAATGTGCCACTGCTTACTATAAGTATGGATGTGCTTTGTTATACAAAGCACAAGAAGAAAGTGATCCCTTAGCTACTGTTCCAAAGAAGGAGGTCGATTCCCAGCAGAATTCTAGTAGAAATGGAGTTGCTAAGGATGCAAAAAGTAGTGAATGTTCCTCATCTTCTGTTAATGATGCCAAACAAGATAGGGATTCGAATCACAATGAAGGAGATCCAGATGATGGTTAGTACCTTATTGTTTTTGACTTTTTCGTTTCTGGATGCATCTTTGGTTATGTTCCTAAAATGCTTTTACTGTTTAAAATCAGTTTCTGCCTCCCTCCATTTCTTGATTAGATTATCCAAGTTATCTGGATGTATACATTAATGAACTTGTTAGACATCACCATGCATGTTGATTCGCATGGACATGCTTCCATGGAGGAGTGGGGGGCTGGTAGGGGTCACATCCCTCTTGGAAGTTTTAAAAAACCTTTTGACATGCATTGAGGGTGATAGGAGGTGGCCCCCGTCCAGTGTTTTGTGCCTGAGGTGCAAGGCGCAAGGCGAGGTGCGTGCCTTTTTGAAGCAAGGCGCAACAATACAAAAAAATGCTAAAAAATAAAAAATGCCAAAAAATATTAAACATAATATTACTAAAAAATATAAAGTTAAATTTTAAAATAATGTTTTAAAAAACCTATTATCTAAAATTAAAATACATAAACATAAGATGTAAAGCATATTCAAATGAGAATTTAAAAATAAAACCAAACATATAAAACATTTTCAAGCATGTAAAACCTCTAATCTCT